TCAGCTCTCACGTGCTACACCAAGAAGGAGGAATGTGGTTTTATGCCGAACCTCCGTCACGCAGGCAAAGCAAATCCCGTCAGTAAGAGCAGGGGGACCTTCCCTTGCCCAGTGCCGGTGATTACAGCTCGTGGCCTGGCTCCAGCATCAGCTCCTGGTGTTGTGCAAGAGTTTGTTCTCCTCGCCTGGATATTTCATCACCCCCCCGGCCCGTGCTGGTGTATCTTGCTGTTGGGTGACACACACCAGCCCCTCCACAAGCTGGCAAGGCCTTGCCTTCTCTCCTGCAGGCCTGGTAGGTGCCACGCAACCCTAACACTCCGAAACGGAGAGCCGGTGCTTTAGGGCAGCTTGAGAAAAGCAAATCTCACAGCCCCTCAGGTTGCAGAGGACTTGCTGAGAGTAACCCTCTGCCTCCTGGTTCATCATTATCAGGGGAATGCAGGACTTCTGTGTTTACCATTTCACCCTGACGTTTTTCTTTCCACCAGATAAGATTTAAAGGAAAAATAATTTTTTTTTTCTCACTGTTATATTTTAGAAGGGAAAACTTCTCCACTTTGTTGTGGAGAGCAGAGAAGCACAGAGCAATGACACACCTTATTACCTACTGGCTTGAGGTGTTTGGGATTTTTTTTGCAGAGCCTTCTCAGGGTTTGATTCTGGCTGGGAAGCCATAGGGCACGCTCTCAGGCTGGCAGCCCTGCTCCTCCGGCAGACGTATCCCTCTGGCACTGCGCTGTCTGTGTGGTGTATCCCTCTGCATTACACCATCAGCTTTTGGGCAAAGCCCTTCCTGAATGCTCTGCTTCCTGGGAATACTGCTGAGCACATACATTCCCCTCTCCCGAGGATCCCCTGCAGCACTCTTAATTGATTCAATTAGGATATTATCTGGCAAGTTTCCTTTTAATGAAGAAGCTGCCTGCCAGTATGTTAGCTATCGATATAAAGCTGCTTTTGAAGGGCTCCCTCTCCCTGGGTGGCCCCATCGGCGTTATCACCTGCGTGGTAACGGGCAGCTTGGCCATGGGGACAGGGCGCTCCCATGATGTGCACAGACCTTCAGCCGCAGCTCGCTCCAGAAGGACTCACCACACAGACATTTCTGGCTTAAGAGAAAACCAGCTAATCAATAAGATAAATTGATGGTGAAGATAAATGTGGATAATCGTGCCCTATCTTGGCGTGCTGTTGCAGGCAGCCCTGCTGTGGGTTGGATATGTTGCCGCGGCATCTCTGACCCAGTTCTGGCTTAGGGAGCCAGGGCCCGGCCGCCGTGTGATCACCCTCCTGTCCAGCATTACTGCAAAGGACTTGGTGAAAAGCATGATACAACTGCTTCCTGTATAATAAAAGCACACCAAATTGCTTCAAACTGCATCCGCTCCATTACAAAAAAAAAAAAAAAAATTCTGTCACAAATACTTAAAAATAATCTTGGAAGGGGAGAAACAATAGGGTTATTGTTTCTTTTTTCCCTCATTTTCTTCCCAACCTGGCTGAGTGCATTGCTGAGAGTGAGACTTGGCCTCTCTGTGCTCTCCCGTGCTTGGCAGGAAAAGCTGTGCTCCAAAGGGTTGTGTGTCTGTCTGCCTCTCGCCTGCCCCATCTCCCCCTCTCCCTGGGATCTTGGATGGCTGGGCAAGTCCTCCCTTCTGGGAATGTGATGTGAGCTGTCTTGTTTGGAGCTTGGATGGAAACGCTCACTGCTGAGATGATCTGTGGGTCTCCCTGTGCCAACCACCTGCCTTCTACGACTCCTTGCCTGCAGGGGAGAAGGGTGCTCTCCCAGGAAACCTGCCCTGCCCCGTTGCTGGTGTGCCTCCATTTCTGCAGACGATCTTCTGATGCCTGTCTGCACATTCCTCCCCCGGAGCTTGTGGGGGTTGCTGTACTTTTGCTCCTTTTCCATCCCTCTTCCAGATGTGTGCCTGCTCTCCTTGGCTTTTCTGGGGAAGAGCAGTGTGACAACCTGCGCTGTAGTCCCCACCCTGCAAAATCAGCAGGAGCAAGACGGGATGGAAAGGGTACAGGGAGCCTCAAAACCTAGAGACCTGCCATCTGCCTTCCTCCAGGTCTCTGGAGCATCTCTCAGCTCTGGAGCTGAACTCTTCCCGTTGCTGCTTCGTGCGTTTCTGCTGCAGCGTGACGGCGTGCAGTGCTAGGGCAGAACTGTCAGCCCGTGACCCACCACTGGGTTCTGCAGACGTGTGCTCTTGTATCTGCTAGCGCACACTGCCTGCCATGGTTACAGCCGGCGCTGGGGTTGTTTTCTTTGGAGTGGTTCTTTTAGCTGTTCTTCAACCACAGGCTTATGCTTAGTAAAACTGATGAACTCGTGTTTGCAGCTGCCTTCTCCGAAGCTGTGTGATGTGGCAGATCCACGGGACTGACCCCTCTGTCTTGTTTCTTCCTCGCCTTCTCTCCTATTTGTGTGTGTCAGAGGGTGCTCCAGGCACCTTGCAACTGCTTTTCCTCCCTCTAGTAAGAGAATTGATATTAGCTTGTGAATGCACAGGCATAATGGTACCAACCCAGGGCCGGCAGTGCTGCGTCTGGTCTGACTGGAGTGATGCTGGTGGCTCTGGGCTGGGCTGGAGGGGAACAGGGGGGCTGCAGTGAGAGGGTCCCCACACTGCCTCCTGCTTGCTGAGCAGCTGGTGCAAGGAGCACTTTCAGTCAAGAAGAAGGAAATGGAGAACTTCTAGGCTAAAGTTCTGGCTGGGTTTGGTGGGATCACATGGCTGAGAGCAGGTCTGGCCAGAGGCACAGCTCAGGCACGTACATACGGCAGAAAACAGCTTGCACCGTTTGTGCCTTGGAGGCTCTCGGTGCTCCCGGGAGCGAGAGATCCTCAGCTCGTGTTCAGACTGAGAGGAGGGGAAAGCTTCCAGTGACTCAAGAACTGCATTGCTTAACAGCAATCAGATGTGTGGTGTTTGCAACTTGTTTTCCTCACCCTTAACCAGTCACAAGCTTTCCCGAGCTCTTCCCAACAGGAGCAGGGCTCTGCTGTAGTGTAACACTGTTTTGCAGGGTAACGGGGATGTGGTGTCATCCATTCTGTTCATGGATTGAGGGAAGAGCAGGAGGGCGTTGCATGACTGGGGAGGCTGGGATGGTGGTGCTGCCCTGGGAGCCTGCGGTGCCTGGGGGAGGTGAGTCCTCCCTCGGCCGTGCTCAGGCTTGCTTTGTGGCTGCTGGTAACGTCACCACAGTCCCCAGTTATTGCTGAGTCTGGAGTAATTTTCTTTGTTGTAAAGCCTTTAGAGTTTGTTTTGAGAAGAAGCTGTAAACAGGGACCGTTTGTGCTTAGTGTCATCCTGGTTTTGAGTCGTCTTGTTTTCATTTTGAAGAGAATATTTGAGAGCTTCTTTTGGTTTTCCTGTTGTCTTTGGGAGTGTTGGGGGAGTTCTTTATTTCTTCTCAAAATGTGGGAAAAATACCTCCTTCTTCCTTCCCCCTTTCCACTAAACCTCAATGATTTTATGTCAATGCATTTGAGATCCAATAAAAAAACCCACAAGTATTGCCTGTGCAGGGGTGCGGAGGGCTGTATCAACAACAAGACTTAGCTTTAGCATTACAGTGCTTTAACGAGCTCATGTTTGCGGTAGAGGAGTCCACAGCCCATAGCTAGGAGCTGAGATCTCCTGTAAAAAGCAGGTGGAAAAATAGGTGCCAAAGAACAAGAGGGAGCCAGGTGGGACACATCCCCAGGGGGTGTCAGGACCCCACAGTTTGGCCCTGCATGACTCCCCGTGGTGCTGGGGCTCCCGATGTCGGAGCAGCAGACAGGAGGGAGCATGGCTTGTGCATCCTGCCAGGCTGCGTGAGGGCTGCCTGCAGGTGCCTCTCATGGGAGGAATGGCTTGGGCTTTCTTTCCTCTTTCATAAAATACCTTAAATATTAATTGGGCCAAAGAATGGCTGTTTAGACTCTACAGAGTGCTCAGGACACTTCTTAGGCAGGTTGTCTCCAGTGCTTCCATAAGTGCTTAATTATTTATGCAGAGTGCGATAGCTCCAATAGGGGAGGGCAAGACCCATTTCAAATACCCTGGGGACCAAGAAGCTCTTCAGGTGATGGGAAACAGAGCTCAGATCCATGCCTCAAAGAAAACAAGGGAGAGTTTGCATCTCCCTGCCCATCCTTCCCAAGGAAGTGTCCGAGAGGTTGGATGGATGGCTGGGCATGCCCTTTCTCCGATTCTGCTCTGTGTAAAGTGCAAAACCCAATCCAACTGTTTTCCAGCAAGACCAAGTAAAGGAAATGCTGAGGATGTGGATGCTGCCAGGGCATCGGTATTAAGCGTCATAGCAGCTGCAAGGAAGTTGTATGCATGTGCTAATGCACCACTGTAGGCACTCAGCGAGAGCAGGAGCTGGTTATCACCTCTCTTTGCTGACTAAACTTCCTAAGTGCAGTTTTACCAGTCAGGAAATTGTTTGCTTCATGCTGAAGATCCCATAAAACATTCATCCCTCAAAGCCTGTGTAGCACAAAGCGTTCCCTAAAGTTGACGTGTAACTTTACGGCCTTTTGCAGGCAAACATGAGTTGGTGTTGTCAGTCCAAGTCAGCTGTAGTCCAGGAATTGTGTCAGTGCTGTGCGATGCTTGAGCTAATAAACTTAAAATACGCCTTTTTTTGAGCAGCTTCTGAGATCTAGTGACTGAGGTCCATCAGGCTGAAAATATTTGCAGAAAAGCAGGTTACAATAAATCACCCGTGCTGAGCAGAGTGATAGTGATGAGCAGTGAGAAATGTCTTGAAAACAGTGGAGATGATGCTAAGATCTTGTGCTTCTGGCACTGATTTGGCTGTGCTTCCCTCGGCACTGCAGGTTACTGTACCCTGGCTGATAGTGCTGTGTACGGTGTTTCAGAACACTGCTGGTTTGGAGAATGAACTTCACCTCCTCCTGGGGAGAGTGGCCTTGTGTCATGCACGTTAACCACCAACTTTAATCACCTCTCTTACATTTCCTTTTCTAGATGCAAATGCTGGACAAGTTTCCGATGGAAGGAGGGCAGAAGGACCCCAAGCAAAGGATCATCCCCTTTCTGCCAGGTAGGCAAGTGGGTGCCAGCAAAAACCACACTGGATTTGGCATGGCAGGAGCTTTATCCCAGTCTGTGTGTGAGCATACACAAGCTTTAGTTCTTACCTCCTGAACCATCTGAGCAATAGCAAGTTCTTGGCCTGCACCGTGTCCATTAAAACATCTGTATTTGTTAGCAGTGTGCCCAGAGTGTTACACCCCTTGGTTATTCCCTCCAGGAATCACTAGTGGAGGACTCAGCTAAGCAACCCCACAGGCAGAGCTTCTGGCACGAGCAACCCCCACAGCATCCTGCTTGCTTTGAGAAGGGGCCTGGCCAGCATGGCACAGGGCTGAGTGTGGCGTGAGGCTCCTCAGGAACTGCTCATACACTGTTTATCCTGTCCCTTGCAACTCAAAGGGTCGTCCAGAGAGGAGGAGATAACAATTGAATTCCACATGTTAAATCAAGCTGATTGACAGCCTTGTCTGCCTCCTGTGATCTGGGACTGGTCAAAGACAGGGTTTCTGCGGCATGACGTGTGCCCTGCCAGCCCAACGTGCAGCTGAGCGTTTCTGCGCCTGGGGGACAGATGTGATGGTCCATCGCAAACTTTGAGGCATGGGGGATTGCTCGTGGCTGCCCTTTGGTGCTGCTGCTGTGGGGGGAAAAAGAACCCTAATGCAGGGCCTTGGGAGTCTTTCATATGCCCATAGCTAATGGCTTTGGCTACAGAGTTGTCTTTACCCCCCACCTCCAAGTAGCTGATGGGCATATTTAGAACTGTCACGGTATCACAATCACTTCCAGTGACTGTCAGGTCCATTTAGTGCAGCCCTTTGTGCCGTGTTCTGCCTCCTGGCTTTTCTAGAAACATAAAGGCATTTAGTGGGCTGTACTTTTTTCTGGCTGGCGTGAAGAAACTCATTTACACCCCTTTCTGGGCAAGAGAGTCTTGTCTCGGTTTCCCATAGAGGGATTTCTGATTCTGGCTTGTCTGTACCATCAGCAAGAGCAAAGCACACCTGACATCAATACAGCGGGAAAGCCCTTGCTGTACAAGTACTCTTGCCAGCAAGGAGCGGGGAGGAAGGATGGAAGCCAAATTGACAAAGGGCAGAACTTGGAAAAATTGGACATACAGTTTGGCCGTGCTGCACTTGCAAAAATTCCTACCAAAATGCTGCTATTTTTGGAAGGCAGTGATGGGAAGCCTGGTCGGAGCACTGCTTCTCACAGCACACTCCTCAATATTTGTTTCTTCTTGGTGTTGAAATAGTTTCCCTTCGCTAAGAGGCGTGTCACTGGGGTTTCTGTTGGAGGAAAAGGAGGTTGCCGTTGCTGGAAAATAAAGCCTGGCTTTTGTGTAAGAAAGCGGTTTTGGGGAGTTAGGATGACCATCTTCCAGAGGAGCTTGTGCATCTGTGTGTGCCCTCTGCAGAGAAGTTTACCCTTTTGCTCGGGTCCCCTTTTGGAACAGGACTAAGTAATACTGTTTTCAGAGGTAGTCAGTCACATGTTGACTTGGAAAACTGCTAGTCCGTGCTTCTCCCAGAAATTTTTCTTGACATTCCATTTCTTTGGTGGTTTGCGATAGCTAAGAAGAGAGAGACTATTGATGCCCAAGAGCTGGACCTGCAGCTTTACTGCTTGTACTTTCAGGTGCCAGTGAAGGGCATGGAGTGGGGTGGTGAGATCCGAGCACAGGATGGTGTCCTCTCTCTGGACAGGAGGTAGCCACTGGAAAGACAGATAATCTTGCATCTGCCTGTCCTCATGAGGCACCTTCAGAACTCCTCTTGCTTCAGGGAAGTTGTGTTATTAAGAAGTGGGAATCATATTGCCTTTGTTGGGCATCATGGAAGGGTCAGGAGCTGGCAGCTTTCTCCAGAGCAAGATGATGAGCCATACCTCCCCGGTGAGAGGGCTTGCAAGCTGTGTCTGCTTCCAAAAGAGGACTTCACTTGGGGGTAAAGGAAGCTGTGATGAGAATGTGAAAAGCAGTATGGTTCCTTTTTGGAGCAGTTTTGGCCTTCCAAGTTTGGGTATGGCAGTGGGTTTTGTTTCTTGCAGCTGAACCCAAACTTTGACTCTGTAGGCCTAGGGGTGCCATCCAGGCAAGCTCAGTGCAAACAGCCTGGGTCTCTTTCTCTGCAAAACGTGTCTCTAGTATGCTTAGACCTGTGAGGGTTTTGATTATGTTCAGCCTCTGTGAGTACTGTAGTTTGCTCCCTATCCCATTTTGAGCAACATTTTTAGCATCTGAATTTCATTACCAGTAGAGATTTGGCTCCAGTGATTTACTGAAAGTACACTGCTTTCTGGGAAGTCCGTTGTAGAGACTCTGCGGCCACTGCAGTTCTCAAAAATGTCTCCTGCAACCCTGTGCCTCCTGCAGCTCTGGCTTTCTTAGCAAACCCCTAAGCATCCCACACTCAGAGTCATCACCACCACCTGAGAAGGTGCCATCTGGGTTTGTCTGTCAGGCAGGTTTCCTGGAAGGGGAAGAGAGTTCCATGATTACTCCATAGTTACAGCATCCAGCCCATAGGAACTCCGTTTGCCTCATTTTGTTAATGTTTACTTTTAGGATTTGACTTCTTGGAAATTTCAAGAGACTTTGGGTCTTTGGAAGTCTGTCTCTGATGGTGTCAGAAAATGCTCTTCTAAGTGTGATTCCTTCAGCCCACTCAGCTCTTCTGGAGTCATAAAGTTGGCTCCTCCAAAGCAGAGCAGAGCAATTGCACTTGTGGTTTGGGGCCAGGGGTTGTCCCTTCCCGGGTGTTGGCACCACGTTCATCCCATAGCACAGCTTGGTGGGGTCTGGTTTGGCCTGGCAGGACGTTGAAGTGCTGCTACGCCAGGCCTGAAAAGCCTCTGCCACCATATAGGGGAATTTGAAGTGGGCTCTTGGCTACTTTTGCTGGCTTTGAGTCACCGGTGCAGCCTGCCTAGCTTCATGTGGCGCTGGGGGTGGCCCCTCGACACAGCTCTGGTGGCACCCAGCCCATGTGTGGCATCGACTGTGGGCCCTGGAGCTGGCAGACGAGAGAGGAGAGACCTGTCACGGCCCGGCCCGGGGGACATTGTGCTGGGCAGCTATGGCCTGGCCTGCAGGACTTCACACGAAGGGTTACACGCATGTTGGCTGGGAGATGTGGTGTGGAGACCCCAGGAAAGAATGAGCTAAGAAAACAAATGAGCTCAGTTGGGCCTGCTGTGTAAGGGCTGTGCCAGATCTTTCAGGAAACAGCTTTTATAAGGAGAGCGGAGCCTTCCAAACTTTGTACAGCCTGAGTGGCCTGGAGCAGATCCTGGCCGGTCTGCTTCGCTGGAAACGTGAGCCTCCGCAAGGAGGGGTTGCCTGAGGCTGAGCTAACTTTGGCTGTAAAACTGCTTTTTAGGAAGCTTTAGCTACAGACAACAGTGAACTCCCAGGAAGGGAGGAGGAGAAAGGGGGTTCAGTGGGGTCATTTTAAAAAGCAGAATGATGCCTCCTTTCTACTCCTTTCCCAGCCTGCTAACCTGTTCGGCATGGGCATCAGTGCTGCCCACGTGCTGTGGGGCTTTTCTCCCAGAACAACAGCTAACAGCTCCCCACACAGGCCCCGTGAAGGAGCTGGGGAAGAACTCATCCATTTTCCAGTTACAGTACCTGACTTTCCCCAGCCCCATTGCATCTTCCTCAGAGCTGGAGGTGGGACAAGGGTCCTAATTACTATTTTCTGCTCTATCCAGGCGGGCATTTCTGCTGTAGCACTGTAGGGTGGACAGCCCCAGGCTAGCTTGCAGCCCATGATCGGTATGGTTGCCTTTTCTGTAGGGTTGCAGCTAACCCTGCTGATGTGCAGACAGTATTACCCCAGGCAGAGTGCTGCGGTGAAGCAGTTCTGACTTTTAAGCTGTCTTTAAAGAAACTACCTTACTTTTTTTCTCATAGCACTGTAGACCATAGAAAAATGGCCTTCAAAACATTTTGCTCCAGTGAACTCTTACCGTGAGCTCTTGCATGGGTGGGTTGCAGAAGGGCTGTGGAGAATGTTTTGGGGCAACTTTCAATGCAGTTCCGCTCTCGTGATCATGAAGAAAAGCTGCTGAGTCTGATGGGATAGCCAGAGTTCAAAGGATTTGCTAAGTAGGAGGCTGCTTTTCCTCCTTCTTGTCTTCCTCTCTACACTTTGTGTTGGCAGAAATGTCTTTTTTTTTTTTTTTCAGTAGGAAGGGTAGCAATGCCATTGCTGTTGTCTGATAGCAGAGAGTGAGCCATTTGGGGTAGGAAGCCGAGACACTGAGGCTTGCTGCTGAGCTGGGTGGGGAAGAAAAAGTCTTTCTTGCATCAACAGACTGACCCAGTGATGTCCTGAAGACCTTCATTGTTTTAGTCCAGGCCAAAATCCTTCTGCTATATGATAGGTAGCACTCCTTGGAGCCTTGGGGGCTCCCCAGTCTCTTCTCTTCCATGGAGACTTCATCTCTTTGACCTATTCCTCTGGCCACCTCATCCAGTGCCTAAGAGATGTCTTGCCTCATCCCTTGTGTTCTCTGTAGCTTTCTCTGTAATTTTTGGCAAACAGATAGAACTGACTGCTCCTTCCAGAGGATCTCAAACTGTGAGAGTGTAGGGTCTGTCTAGATAGGAGCACTGTTTAATTTGGCTTCATTTCACAATGTATGGAACTTCATGCCTATGCTATACGAAGGACAGCCCCAAAGGCACATTGCTGGTCCCCCTCCTTTTCTCCAGGATATGCACACAGCGCAGGACTTTGCCAAACAGATGCTAAGTGCAGGGCTCCTGGAAACGCTGTCTCCCACGCCTGCTTCCCCATCCTAGGAATAGCCCACGTAGCTGGCTGCTCCGTGGGCTGGGATTAATTATGTGTACATTTGGGGCTGCCTTTTTTTTGAAGTGAGTTTGGAACCCGTGCCAGGGAAAGTCTGGATGTGATTTGAAAGGTGCAGAGAAGTGAATTCTTTCCGAGGTAGTGGCGTGGGGTTGGAGGGGGGAGAGGGGGGATAGTCCTTCAG